ATTGCGTTTTGCTAGCTAAAGTTGTTCTGTCTTGATATTTTTGACCAACAAGTTGGATTTTACTAAAACAATAATTATTCCTCTCGCCCTCATGGCCTCTGAATTAATGGCCCATTTGACCTTCGGGCCTCATGGACTTAGCCCATTCGGGCTCGAGGAACCATCGTTAAATATTTCTTGGTGGTGATGTTGTTCGTAGCCAGATAGTTCTGTGGTTTATTTGTTTCCATAATGTACTTTACTGTTGTATTTCATTTAACTTTAAGGAGCCACATTGAGTTTGAACCCAGTTGTGTAAAATGTGAGTTGTCATTCAGGAACTTGAATCCAACATTTGAAGTAAGTACATGCATGATTCTGAATAAGATATTATGGAGTACATTCCTAGAGCTTTCTCCATTGTTTACCTTCTTTATATCTTGGAAACATTATTTAGTCTGAATTTACACATATGCTGATTGAAATATTGGCGGGCAAGCGCTGTTACAGAGGAGTTTAGCAATCTCCTTTACAACAAAGAGGTCTCCATGGCAACCAACTGCAGCCCACATCTAGACTCCCATCAACACAATATGTGGTGTGATAAAAAAATATATATATTTACCAGATTTTGAGGATGAAGCAATGTACCAAGCAAAGCTGGTAAAGCAAAAGCTAAATGGAAGTACCTCTAAAAACTAGATACCTTATTATCTGTGCAATAGGAAACGTTTTCCATGTTTTCATAGCCTGATATAAACACGAGATGGGTTGGGAGAAAGTGTTTGTAGTGTTTCTTATTGAACACTTTTTTCCAAGTGCGTGCAAAAGTGACAAACTAAAAGGGTGTTGACTATTCCCTTTTTTTTAGAGGCATCTTAAACGTAAACTTTTCTTCTTATGATTTTCTTTTAGTAATCGCGCTAGTATTAGTAAATAATTATTTATTTTCTTAGTTATTCCATTTCTAAACTCCCCCAAGTTTTGCAGTTGCAAACCCCCTTTTTTCAAACCAACCTAGATAAAAATGGTGCAAAGAATTAAGTGTTTGACACGCGATTGATATTCATTGATGGTAAAAGGGTAGCCATTTGTACATATTTGTCATAAGCAGGGATTACAGCTGTTTGCTAAAAAGTGGTGTAATCCACAACAAATGTAAGACATTTTAAATCAAATTTTTAATCATAAATTCCAGGATTCTCCATACAGTCGTCTTTTCCTTTCCTACTCCCTCCTGCTATTCCTTATCTGTCTCTTTTTATGTTGTAATAGTTAGTGGATTTCTTCTTTCTTTCCCCCTTTCCCCCGCTCCTTCGTTTCTCGAAGAGAGAGCACGTCCAGAACAGATTACTGGCAACTGCAGAAAGGGCTAGTAGTAAATCATTACGTAAAATGTACAGCAGCTGGTGTTGCCTGCTACTGGCTCGCCGCTATTGCTGCACAGAAAATGACTAAAATGACAGACGTTTTCTGAGATGCATCATGCTTGTAGTTTAGTTAGGAGAGAGGTGCATCCGAGAAACGTTTTTTGAGATGGTAAAATCAACATTTTCCTGGGAACTCGGGGTCTTTTAATCGTTAAAAAAGTGTGTGAGAAATGGAATGATTTAAGGGTTTTATGTCGTGCCTAACTGACGTTATTTGCTCAAACAAACGGGTAATAATTAAATTTCTAGAAGCCTTGAATTGATCGAAGTCTATCACTGATCAAAGATCACGCTTTTATTTTCAGCAAACAACTAAGGAAAGTCAGCATGAAAGGGAGAATATTCTGGATTAACAATCAAAACAGTTTGAACGTTATACATTATGAAACTACAGTAGTTAATACACAATTCTTACTGGTAACACGACCAAGTACTTAGAAATTTTCTGTAGGTTATTACATAATGTAAACAAATAACTGAAAGATATGCACAAGGTTATATTTTTTTTAAAGCGAATTTGATTATTGACTCAGTTCAGTTCCGTAAAATCTGAAAGTTCTCTTGGTCTTCAATCTCACTTTCATGCAGATCACAACTGTCAAACGCGTCAAATTGGTAATTACGAAAGTGACCAATTGCAATTTGTCAATCACCGCCTTAAATCAGCCGCTATTTTTGTAAGCAGAGTAGACCCGGGAAATTGTTCGTATGAACAATCCCTTTCCTACTTGATCGGGGTATAAGAATTTTTCCCGCCAAAGAAATTGCAGGAAAAAATCCATGAACTCAACCGAAATTACTCCAAACAAGTATTACAGGATTTGTAGAATGTGGAAATAAGTGGCTGCTTTAAGATAAAACCTTTTTTTTACCTAAGAGGGACACACAGTCAAGGAGTTTTAAAAAAACCTTGTAATCGTTACTGTCGTCCGAGAAAAGGGATGTAAAGGGATTATTCCAGGTCTACCAGGAGTGTCAGCGAGAAGTTTTGAAGTTTTTAAGAGTGTTGGAGCAAGAAAGAGAATTTACATTTTTCCTAGAAAATAAAGCGAGGCTTTAAGCGATCAGTTGATAGAGTACCACTTAATACGACAAAAGCGCTGTGCTTAGGATTCACCGGCGTCGAGTAACGGCCGAAAGCTAGGAAAAGAAATCTACCTCATGACAGCCTTTTATGCCTGTTAGAAGAACGCTGATTCTAAAGAAAAGTACTGGAAGGGAGAACTTGGAACCATACCCCTTTTATATGTGTCAGATAGGCGCTCTTCAACGGCAGCCAGCAACTGAAAAATTGTTGACTTAACCTTGTTCGGTTGGCAGTACATGTAATAGTCGTGAACACATCTTTGCGAACACGGCTTTCTGTTAATGCTAGGTAAGACGACTTTAACCTCTGCAAACCTCTAGTACCGACTTCAAGATCTTTCATGAGCAGATTTTTATCGTTGCTAAACGCAAGCGAATCCTGAACGTGTGGGTAAAAATATGCAGCACGTGCAATTACCTATGCAATATTTTGCCAAGAATTTTTCTTTCCTTGTTGAGCGAGACAAAATTTATCTCAAAAACTGCGTAGGTCCAATTCGGAACGAACCAATCAAATTGATTTGCGTGTTTGTAAAAATATTAGCAAATCAGCACGCGAGGGTCAGTTTCTGATCCTGTCGTGTGCACGTCCAAGGTAACAAGAGCTTTTTCTCTTCGGCTCATTAGCTCTCGTGCGATGAAAATTTTTTAAGAAAAACCTCTAGGACCAGGGTACGATTCTAATTTCAGGAATTAAAAACTTGACTTTATCTCCATTTCAATTCGTCCGTCCGACATAGAATGAAGCCTCAGAATGTCGAGCCGCCGTTTGGCACACTTCTAGTGTACAGTAATCGTAGCTACAATGTAGGTATAAATGCACACACTTTATAAGGCTTGAAAAAAGTCCAAGAAGTAAAGAAGCAATAACATTGTGCTTGAATTTTCACGGTTAAGAACTGGGCTCGATCTTGCTATGTCATCGCATAGAAAAATGTCCGAATTTAGCGTCCACACAAATCACACAATTCCAGATTCAAAGCGTATTTCTACTTTGGAGAGCGGTTAAAAAAAAGTGTGGACGGAAGAAAAAATCCGCAAAGAAAAAGTTGCTGATTCAAAAATATCCGGATACTTGTGGACAGGGGCCCAAAAAACACTACTGACCGACAACAAACAGAGCGGGGGCAGCTGTAGTGTCAAGTATTACTGGTTATAATAGACCATTTTCGATATATTGAAATTCATACCTGGCTCTGAGGCTTGGGGAAAAAAACAAAAGAAATGTATTATTCATCGTTGAGCCTCAAGATGACTTCTTTTATTTTATTTCCGCAAGCCTCGCAGCCAAGTATGAATTTTAATATATCGGAATTAGTCTATTATAGTTAAACAGCCAGCTCTGCGAAAGAGCTTACCTAGACACTAGTTTTGAACTTTGAATATCATTTATTATGTTTTGTTGAAAACAGTATGTATCGCGTATCTTGTGATATGCAAATCAGCTAAAAAAAGGCATCTAATGCGCCTGTGCTTCAACTGACTGTGTCCATTCAACCATAGTTTTTGCCATTGAAATTGTTGATCTGTCAATAATCTTCTGTAACGTACTTACTGCACAATAAACAAGAACCAGGGCAACAAATGCAGTGAAAGTTTATCATCATCAATGCTTAATGCTTGCGTCATTTTTGAAGTGTTACTGTCTTCCTAAGACATGTGCTGCTCTTAAGCAGGAGAGAAACATGTTAGTTAACTTACGATGCATTTACACGGGCACGTATCTCGTGCTTCGTCCTCAGCTGTGCCTGTTTCTTCTTCTTGCTCGGCAGAAAAGCGCCTGTTAGCTGATTTCTGGGCAGCTTCATCAAGGACTGTTAAGGCTACTTTCTCCACTTCTTCCAAACAGTGCTGGAGACCATAGTATGTAGTAGCAAATGACATTCCGCCAGCTATAACCAGACCTATCAACGGGATAAAACGTGTAAATTCCTCAGCACTCGCTTCTGCGGCATAAGCTGCTAAGAACCCGCTGAGTTGAGTTGCAGTTGTTAGACACACCTTACGAACATCGTCTTGGGTGTTGACGTGTAGGTTTGCAAATTCATCAGATCCTTCTTCAGGAAGACCAAGCTGGGTTCTGTAAAATGTGATTTCTTTTATCATCAGCCCAATGTCAACTGCCACGGACAATCCAGGGATGGGAACCATTGCGGCGGCGGCAGACGCTGAAGCAACCATCCAAATACGCCCCCTGAGAACTTCCACTTTCCTCTTTACCATTTCAGTTGACAGGCTTTTTAGAACGCCAAGGGTCATAGTTAAACTTTCTCGTTGGCACCTCGGCAGCACATCTAGAATGGCTTTTCTCAGTCGATCGAACTCCCACTTTGCAGGATGGTAATTGCTTATCAGAAATATGTCTTCTTTGTTGCTCATCAAGTCACCCAGATTTTTCGAACAATCAGCTCGGATTTCCTCAAGCATGTCCTCTTCGTTAAATGATCCTGGGGGCTTTGACCGCTTCTCGGCTCGGACATTTTCATCAATTTTGGTGCGAATGAAGAAAAACTTCTTGTTAATCGAGTTAATTTTCTCTGCCAGTTTGAAGTCGTTCTCGCGGAATCGGGTATCAGTAATTATGAGAAAGGCGTGGTACTTGTTAATTTGCACTTGATCGCAGTACGTCTCCACAGGGAATGTTTGGGTCCCTATTCCAGGCAAATCCCAGAACTTGATTTGACAATTTCCCGGATGATCATATGGTGTTGGTTTTTGGGTGCACTCAGTAATGCCAACTTTGGCTGCCTTGTCGTCAAAGTCTTCAAGTCTAAAACAAAAACCAAAAACTAGTACCTGAAACCGTTCTGCCAATTACCATATTGACAGTGGCACATAAGCGCAACCACCATCACACCAACACCAAGAATAGCTGCATTATAGACCTGCGCTTGCGATCAATTAAAACTAATAACTGTTCAGAGGATAACTTTAAAAAACACGTCACTGCTATCGCTCAGTCAATACATCAAGGCTTCGGTCTGAGATTTCCCTGTAATGACCGAACGAACGAGGTTACTAAGTTATTTATAAGATAGCCTTTTCATCATACACCTGAACCTGCTATCAATAAAAACTAATAAGTGGCCATCAGATAACTTAAAAAAAACGTAGCCTCAATAAGTTGTGCATTTCAGCCCGCGATACAGTCATGTGACACTGGTCAGCGGATACCCTTTTTGACAGCTGTCAGTTGACAACATAGATGTCCATAAGGATGCCCACTATCAAGTCAAACACTGATTGGACAAATATCTAGAAATGCCCGGTCATTACAAGAAAATGATGTTTGCTTAGCAGCCAATCAGAGCGCGCGTAATATTATTGCCATATAATCAAGTGAAATAATTGAGCACAAAAAAAAGATGATTTTCAATTCGTTTATTACTGCCAACGATTACAGTTTTGGCGCGCTTTTGACTTTACGGCCGTCACGTTTTCCTGCCCGCAAATACAACATTGAAAGGCATTTGTTTAGATTTTGCGGAGACATTCCTTCCAAAGGAATTGAGAATTCTTCTGTATTTGAAACCATTCTCCTGTTCTAATAAAACACCATTTGCTTTAGCTTTAAGGTTATTTATGAACATGACAGCTAAATAGAGTAACGCAAAACTTAATTTACATTTGTAAACAAAGATCTTTTTCACCAGTTTCATCGATAAATTCAGGTTAAACAGACAAGGTGTTACTTGTAAAAACAGCCAAACCGAATTTCGTCGCTTTCTTCGTGTTGCCAGGAACAGTTTCTTTGTTTATTTGTGAAATCGTTTCGTTATCTTACGGTAGCAAACATATATGGTATGGTATATCCACCACTACTCACCTCCCCCACAGAGGATAGTTGTATAATATCCCGAGTTTGAGAAGACAGTCAGAGCGCGCGAAAAAAACTATCCACTATTTTTTTTAGGATATTTATTCTAATGGGGTTTGTCGAATACCGAATAGTTGAGAAATGTCACGACGTTCATCATTGTGGTAGATATTTGCATCATCATAATTTACGAGGTTTTTACGTGCGATTCTACTTAATGAAACAGTCTTCTATTCTTAGTCCGGCGACTTAGCTAGAAAATTATGCGATTTTTGATACAAGCACCAAACTTTGTAGGAATATTTACATTCCAAGGCTGGTCATTCCCTGATATAGTGCCAAGCTAAATTTTTGATTCCAGCTAGTTAGCTGCGAATGAAAATTTTCAGACCCGAGACGCCCCGCGAAATTCTTTTTCTTGCTCTTTTTTTAGATTTAATGCACGTTTTATTTCAAAATACAGGTACAACAATACAGGTACATGCGAATTGTTATTTTCCTCTCTTCGTGTATATAAATGCAGGCCATGTTTTGGAATTTATCTGCACATGCTTTTTCTTCCTTTTCTCTTGGTTGAGTTGGTTCGGATGGCAAGAGTTTGTGCTATCTTACTCTAAATATGCATGCGACTCGGTTTAGCTAGAAAAAAACTATTCTGCTCAAAAGAGAAAACCTTCGGTTTAAAAAATGAAGTAAGGAATACCGTATTTCCTCGAATAATAGCAGGGGGGGCGATTAGTTCGGTTTTGGCATCAAAAGGAGGGGGGATTATTCAAGGAGAGGTAATTATTCGGAGGGAGGCGATATTATTTCAAATATTGCTCACTGGAAGTCGAGCTCTGAATATGTTGGCTCATTAGCGGAGCACCATGGGTGAGCGCGGAAAATTTGGTAATCTACCCATCCGATAAATTTTGGTAATCACGTGACCGTCCGTCCGCTCCACAGGCATACCAATGTAAAATAACTCAACCAACAGGTATGGCAACCCAAATGCAACTTGAGGTTATTTTGGCAGGAAATCGTATAACCACCCTCGTCTTGTGAAGCAGAGACAACTAAAGAGTCAGTAAAGACGAAAACGGAAAGCGGAAATTGTTTCTGTATCCTTGTTGTCCAAAGCATCAAGCTTAGATTAATTGTCATGTCCACAAATTTGGAATATAGAGAAAAAAAAAAGGGAGCGACAGGCCAGCGAAGCTCAACGCGAAAAAGAGCGACAGAGAGCTGGAGCGGACGATAAGAAAACAATAATAGTGCTAATCAAGTCCATCTTTGGTTTGATAAACAATGTGATTAAGATTTAGACCGTTTCAGAGAAGAACACTAACCAAATCTAAAACACATGACTATGTAGCTAATACATGCAGTGACCCTCAAACAGTTAAGTTGTCCCAGTCAGAAAGAAGTAATAAATACACTTCAGAAGAGATGAATTAGGCTTAAAGCAACTTCTCATTATAAATAAATTAGATGCCACCTTCTGGCTCTCATGCATGACAAAAGCAACTTTGTTGCTGTTTAATATAGAAAGATTGATTGATTTGTGCCCTCTCAGAAGTAGTACTTGACCACAGTTTTACTGTCTTTATTGACTAAATGTTTGCAGCAAATCCTACAAAAAAGACAAACAAAAGGAAAACTAAAACACTATTTAAAAAATAGCAACAACACTTAGGAGCCTAAACGGAGGCCAAAAATTGTCAGTAAGTGTTTTCCCATTCATGCTACAATCATTAGTTTATATTAGGGAAAAGTACAAAAATTGTTCGGGTCTATTCAGTGCGAGGAGCGAGGAGCGACGTAAGGCGTTTGCATTCTCTGGATATTTAATTAATTAACAATTAATTGCCTAATTTCATACCGCGCGGGGGCCTGGCACTAACGGATTTTCCCGGACTTTTTTAAAAGTCCAGTTTCAAAATGGCGGATAGTCGGAGTAAAAACTCGAACGAAAGCATTCTTTTTCGAAGAAATATTGATCAATATTCCCTTGGAGAATCTGTCCAAACTTAGTAAGGAAAGGATGCAGTATTTCTGCCATGCCCTGAAGCTAAACTTATGGAGCCGACCCTCAGCAAGTGCAAGCAATTGTTCGATGAACAGGCCGCTCGAACCAAAGAGGATTATAAATTTTCTACAGCAAAGGACCCTCTGTTTAATTCTACCCGCATATGAAAAGTAGAGGATCATTGCAGGAAAGAACCCAGATGTGATTGTGTATGTACCGATCGTAGCCTAAGTATGCTGTAGCAAAACTTAAAAGGGCAGTATAGTACAGAAGGGCTTACCTGGATTATTCCCGTCGTGGAAAAGAGTAATGTCCGTGAAAGGTACTGAGTGTAGTGAACTTTGTGGTGTTATTTATGTTAAACCTAGAGCTGTTCACATGAAGGGAGATAAGGGACTAGCCTATACTCAGGCCGATACTACTTTACGACCCTGTTTTGCAGTTTTAGAACATAATTGTCTACCTTATTTAGAAAGTTTACAAAATATACCATCCTATCATTTGCTTTATGCGAATAACCACAACTCAGCAATAAAAATACTTTGTAGCAATAACAGTTACCGCACAAAGGTGTGATTTTTAAACTTGCACCTGCCCCAAATACAAACCCTACCAGTGAATAGTCCTAACAGCAAAATTCACTGCAAATGATTTACAGGGAACTTAAACGAAGGCGTATTTAAAACTGTTTTGTGAATCAATCCGCTTGTATCTTGAAAACTATGACTTTAAATCGAAATAAGATCGCGGAAAGAGACCTAGTATAAATTTTGCGCGCGCAGTCCGTACTTTGAGGCCTATACGCCGCAATGAAATATCGCCGCTGCAACTGAACATGAACGACATAAAAGAGCCCTCCTTTAAAAGTTTTTTCTGGCAAAAACTGTTCTCAGAGAGGTGAATATCAATTCTTTTGTTTTTGCCTATGCTAGCGGCACTTAAGCATCTGAAAATTGTCTTTTTATAGATTTAAATCACACAAGTAAACAGCGCGTTCATGTTAGAGAACTTACGCACCAAGCGCGAGAATTTTGTTTGAAGAGAGCAATAAATTATATCAGCGAGGGTCGGGGGCATAGAACCGTGTTTTAAACTTCGCGGGCGGTGAGGTGAAAGGACGTGTGATTTTTCAGTCTTTTGTTTGCTGTTCCCTTTCAGTGTTTCGATCGTCATCTGAAAATTGTCTTTTTATAGATTTAAATCACACAAGTAAACAGCGCGTTCATGTTAGAGAACTTACGCACTAAGCGCGAGAATTTTGCTTGAAAAGAGCAGTAAATTATATCAGTAAGGGACGCGGGGCCGTAAAATCGTGTTTTAAACTTCGTAGGCAGTGAGGTGAAAGGAGGTGCGATTTTTTCAGTCTTTTGTTTGCTGTTCCTTTTCAGTGTTTCGATCTTCATCTGAAAATTGGCTTTTTATAGATTTAAATCACTCAAGTAAAGAGCGCGTTCATGTTAGAGAACTTACGCACCAAGCGCGAGAATCTTGCTTGAAAAGAGCAATAAATTATATCAGCAAGGGTCGGGAGCACAGAACAGTGTTTTTAAGCTTCGCTGGCAGTGAGGTGGAAGGTGTTATTTTGTTCCTTTATTGTTTACTCACGCTCTTCAATGCATTCAATGGGATGTTATTTTTATTCAAAAAAGTTAATTCTTGTTCAAACAAACGAATGTAAAATATAACCGTCATTTACATGAAGAATAAAATTTCCTGGCGCAGAATTCAAACAGTGCCAACTGGGTAACAGAATATAAAGCGGGCTGTTAAAACCTCTGATCAGAGCGCCGCGAATTGTAAGTTCTCGGCTCCTTCTATTCAATCCGTGGTTAAAGTTCCCTATAATTGTTACTACGATTTTAGCATAAAAAATGAAGTATGTTTTCTTAAAATTTGCAGCCAGTACGCGAAGCGCAAAATAAACAATACGGTTCGGCTTTGTTCGTCTCAAATCTCGTCTGTTCGGCACCTCACCCCTCACTACTGCGTTGTCCGTTTCGCCAGTCAACTAACACTCCTACCCACCCCCTAAGGTGAAATTGCTCCTTACTTCGGTCCCGCCGAAAATTCAAATCTCATCGGAAAGAAGTAATCGGTAATGTTGAAATTTGCCGCGCGTAAAAGCTATTGTTTCCATTCACAGCATGAAAATGGAGATTTACGCAAAATTAAAGTTTGCGTAAACCTGCGTAAAGTTGGTCATCCAACTTTACGCAAACTTTCCACGGCGCGTAAAGGTTTGTAAAGGTAAATCAGTACGCGCTCGGCTCTTAAAGGTTTCGTAAAGCTAGCATAAAGTTGTTGTAACAGCTTTACGCTCATTTACGCTACATGTAAAGGTTTAGTAAGGTTGTCATATAATGCTACCTTCCTAACAGGAATTTATTCCCGGCACTGTTTTTAGTAAGTCGTTTCTGTCCTGACACTAGTTCGCATAGTCTTTAATTTTTGATCAGTCATTTGGTGTTCGATGTTGGTGTGCGATGTAAACAAGCCAACCACGCAAATTTTTTTTTTTGGCGGTGCGAACGACTTTGTACACGCTTAAAAATGACGCTGAAAAGAAAATTCTGCTAGCAGAGAGTTCATGCAAAGATATAGCTTGCGACTGTTCGGCAATTTTCGAAAAACGGCATATCTGTCGCGGCAAACACAATAGCCTTCAATACTGAGTCAGTGCATTGCCTCATTGATTTCAGTCAGTATAACTGCGTTTGATAGTACAGTTTGTTGCAATTTTAAGCTCACCAAATTCCAGAAAAAATTGAGGTAATATCATGTGATATTGAGTAGAACCTCCGAACTAACGTCCTCCTCTTCCTTAACGGTCACCTCTCTACACGGGCCAATTTTTTTTTTTTTTTTGGCGAACGGTCTATACATGACATACATTCACTCTTCTTTCAACCTCTCTACAATGGCCACTTTCTTCGATGTCCCTAAGGTGGCCCTTGTAGAGAGTTTCAACTGTAATTTGATCAAATTGAAATAATTGGAAAAATAAAGAAAAAATATCGCCGCGCAAAAACGGCGAGTTTTACTTAAAGAAAGAACCCATTACTTAAAGAGAAAGAACGCATTCACAAATTACTCTGACTATTTTGCATTCAACGGAGTACTGGCTTCACTGTTGAATCTCCTTTATCGCTTCCTTATTTTAAGTCCGCGGATTTCAGTTTAAGGGCCTGTGGCCTGTTTCTCGACAGTCCCGGTAACTTTTCGGGCCCGAAATCAAATATTCAAATCGAAATATAAAGAATAAGAGCGCGGGTCCTGGCTAGCAAACTACTCCATTTTGTTTCACTAACTGATAGTTTTATCATGCTTGATGCAAAAGTTTTGAAACCTCGATCTTTAATGTAAATGGAGACAGCTTACCGGGGCCGTTAATTATCGGGACTTTCGAGAAACGGGCCCCTGGAAACAATAGAGTGAAGGGACACCGGTCGTTGTTGGGGTCGACACAGAAATTTCGACGCGTTGATTGGACTATTAATCTGTCTTTAATCGCCAAGTTTCTCGTGCTTGGTTCGATCGGTGATCACTGGTCATGAACGGTGAAAACTGAACATAAAATAAGCAAAAATGACAAATAAACCTAAAGAAAACCTAAATAAACCTAAAGCGACACTAAAGAGCGAAAACTACTTACATTCTGTGCGATGCAATCGATGAGAAATTCAAAACATTTGCTCTATAACACTACACTTGAAAACACGTGGTGATCTGGTTTTGCTGTGGTCATGTGACCATCCGAAACTAACATGATATAAGTAGTCACGTAGTGTCCAAAAGGGAAGTGAACGCAAAAATAAATCAAAATAAAATTTGGACTAAACATTCCGCCGGCCTTGGGACAACCCAGTAGGTAGGCCCAACGTCACTAGCCTAGACTAATTATTCTCAAGATCGTTCTCCAGTAAGCATAGCTTCTGAATAGGTCGGATGAACACAGAGTCCTTTGTCTTGACTTTCGCTGTGCGCACCAGGCCGTCGGGGCCAGGGAAGACCTCTAGGACTCGTCCAAGTTTCCAGCATCCTCTCGGCACGTTGTCATCAACTAACAGGACAAGGGCCTTCGGCTTCAGGTTAGGTAAGACCTTTCTCCACTTTCCTCGGGCTTGCAGGGTAGGTAAATACTCACGCAACCACCTCTTCCAAAATAGGTCTGCCAGAAATTGTACCTGCCTCCATTTCCTTCTGTGATACTGATCTGCTTTCTCAAATATGCCAGGGGGTAGGCAGATAGTCTTCCTCTGCATTAAGAAATGCGCTGGCGTGAGTGGCTGAAGGTCATTTGGGTCGTCTGAATTGGCGGTGAGCGCTCGCCCATTTAACACTCGTTCAACTTCAGTCAACAGCGTCTGAAGAACTGCTTCCGTAACTACTTGGGTCCCTAGGATAGACTTCAGAACAGTCTTAGCACTTCGCACCATCCGCTCCCAAATCCCAGACATGCTAGAAGCAGTTGGCGGCTGGAAGACCCATTTGCACCCTCGTTGTAGAAGCTCTTGCACAATTTGTTGCTGGTTCCACTGCTCGATCGACTCTCTCAGCTCTCGTTCACCGCCGACAAAATTTGATCCTCTGTCACACCTTAGTTCAGTCACTTCACCACGACGGTTCATAAATCGTCGCAGACACATTATGAAGTCGTTTGTGTCCATCGAGTGAACCAATTCAAGATGTACACTACGTGTCGTTAGGCAGGTAAATAAGCAGCACCACCGTTTGGCTGTTCCTCTTCCATGCTTGACGTATAAAGGACCGAATAGATCCATTCCTGTGTAGGAGAATGGGGTTCGTACGCCATCATCCGGCTTCTTGGCAGGGGAGCCATTTGCTGAGTCATCGGCTTGGCATTCAACTTCTTACAAACAAGACACCGACCCAGGACAGAACGAGTTAACACCCTTATTTGTGGGATCCAGAACGTCTCTCGAACCCTTGCTATGAGGTGTTCACGCCCCAGGTGACCAATTGATGCATGGGTGTGGCGGACCATCAGGACTGTCGCTGGATGATCTCTGGGCAGTATTATTTGATTCCTGGCAGTGTCAGCAGCTGGTGGTGATGCTATACGTCCCTTGACTCTCAAAACACCATGGTCGTCTTGCATTGGGTTCAAACTAGCGATCTTACTGGATCCCCTGACTTCGCCCCTGGTCTTTAGATCCTTGATCTCTTGATCGTAGGCTGCGTGCTGGACGATCTTTGCGATGGATAAGGTAGCAGCATCGTAATCTTCTAAAGTCAGATGACCTGTGTGGACAGTCTTCCGGTCACGGATGAAATGAGTGAAGCGTGTGAGCCAAGCCACTTGACGTCTGAGACGGTTCCAATCAGAGGAGGTGCTTATTATTTGTTGCATGGTGGTCTCAACAGGTGTGGCGGGGGGGCAATTAGACTGTACGCTTGCCTGGCGGGTCTTGACATTGGTGTTTATGTCAGTACAGTTAGCATGGGTTTCTTTCTTAAGCTCTAGGCCTTCATCGGGGACTTCTCGAAGGCTTGCGTTGGGCCAAAAGGATTCAGGTTGCCATAAGAACTCTGGTCCTCGTAGCCAGCGGTGATCAAGGTTTAGCTCAGAGGGGTTCAAGCCACGTGACGCATCGTCGGCTGGGTTCAAGACACCTGGCACGTGGTTCCAGTCGTCTGGCTGTGAGTTTCCTCTGATTTCTTCGACTCGATTAGCGACATAGGTCTGGAAACGACGCCTTTCATTCTTCAAGTAGTGGAGAACTATTTCGCTGTCTGTCCAGAACTTGGTGCTCTGAATAGGAAGGTCCAACTCTTCTCTCAGCATCTTATTCAAGCGTGTAGACAGAACAGCAGCTTGGAGTTCAAGCCTTGGAATGCTTGTGAACTTGACAGGTGCATTTCTTGCTTTCCCCACAACAAACGAGCAGTGAATAGACCCATCTGGATTCTCGACTCTTAGATACGCAGATGCACCGTAGCCAATTTCAGAGGCATCAGAGAAGATATGCAGCTGTAGTTTGCATTTGGAAGCATCTGTTTCAGCTGGCAAGTAGCAACGTGGGATGCGCAGTGCAGAGAGGGATGACAGCTGTGAGGTCCAAGACTTCCATCTGGCTAAGAAGTTTTCTTCGAGTGGCTGGTCCCAGTCTACCTTAGCCTTCCACATATCCTGGATAATTACTCTGGCAGTAAGGGCCACAGGCGCAGCAAACCCAAGAGGGTCATACAGGGAACAAACGGCGGACAGTACTCCACGCTTTGTTTCGGGTCGATTCAAGTTCTTGATGTCAAATCCAAGCTCATCTGTTTCAGCAAACCAGCGAATCCCTAGCGCCCTTTCCACTGGCAGTTCGTCTAAGTCAAGATTCAGATCTGGTGAGGCTCTTTTCTCGGTGGGAATGGTTGCCAAAACATTCTTACTGTTCGTCATGAATTTTGTAAGGTTGAAGCCACCGTGATTCAGGATTTTCACTAGGTCCGATGCTACAGTAGATGCTGCATTCTCCTCACTGAAGGATGGCAGAGCATCGTCAACATAAAAGTTCCTGTCAACAGTTGCAACAACTTGCGGGTTGAACCTTTCAGCATTGTCACTGGCTGTTCTTCTCAGGGCCGAATTTGCAACGCAAGGGGACGAGGTTGCTCCAAATATGTGTACTTCCATAACATAGACATCCGGGGTTTGTCGTAATCATCTGTCCACCAGAGGAATCGTAGAGCTTCTTGATCTTGTTTACGCACACGCACTTGATGAAACATTGCCTCGACATCAGCGGCTACCCCTACATGCCCCTGTCGAAATCGCAGCAGCACACCAACGAGACTGTTTGTCATGTCTGGCCCTTGAACGAGATTCTTGTTTAGAGATGTTCCTTCATACTCAGATGCGGCATCGAAGACGATACGGAGCTTGTCAGGTTTGTTGGGATTGGTCACTGGATGATGAGGCAAGTACCAAGTTATCGAGCTTTCTCTAGCTGCTTCTTCAGGGGACAATTTGCGTGCATAGCCCTTCGAGATGTACTCAGTCATGACTCCACGGTACTTAGCAGCCATTTGCTCATTTCCTGCTTTGGTCAGGCGTCGTCTAAGCAATTCTGCTCGTCTTTCAGCTAAAATGCGATTGTTTGGCAGCTTTGGCTGATCTTCCTTCCATAGTAGGCCAACTTCATAATGCCCGTCTACAAAGGTAGTAGTTTCTTCAATGATTTTTAGGGCTCGTTTGTCTTCCACAGATAAGGGCTTCTCTCCTGCTTTCAATGTTCCATAGTCTTCGATCTTCCAAAACCTTTCAACAAAGTCGTCAGGTTTGTGTCCAACAGAGATGAAATTGAGCTCAGCTCTTCTTGTCCCAGCGATAGTCAATGGACCTGAAATGCTCCAACCGAGAGGGTACCGATAACCGTAGGGGCCGCTCTTGTTGTCTTTCGGGATTCTGACTTCCTTCTGCAAGTGTGCAACAGGGACGTTACTCCCCACAATGATCGAGACTCGTTTAAAGTCCACCACTGGGAATGTAAGGTCTTGAAGGTGCGGATACTTATGGACATCTACCGTCCCCGGCAAAACTCGTTCTGATTGGTTCAGGTCAGGGGAGAACGTAAGCTTCATTAACATCAATGTCTTCACCATATGCTTCTACAGGACTGAGAGTAAAGGAAACGCGTCGACTCTCCACCAGCTCCTCACTGTTCGTAATAGTCTTAATCCCGATTTGCTCCGAGATCCCTTTCAGGTCAAGATGATCAGCAAGCTCTTTGTCAATGAGGGTATCGGTACACCCATTGTCAAGAAATGCATATGTAGAAAGGGAACCACCGTTCTCTGCAGTAATGGTTACAGGAACTACATTTAACAAAACTTGGGCTCTTGTGGTGCTGACACCGGCAGATGTAATCGAAGTCTGTGGCCTGTCGCTGGGCGGCTGTCTTGTGCCTTGCTCCATTTGTGGTTGCCGGGTTATTGGGTCAGCAGTCGGAGTACTGTATCGGTTAGTGGGGTTATGAGTGTTCTTGTTTCCAGGAGTTCTGCGTCCATTGTTGTTGTCCCTATGCAGTATTGGTAAGTGGTGTCCAGGACACAGAGAACAAGCTGGTGGCTCAGGACAGGAAGTACCACTGTGATCGGGATTATGGCAACCACAGTTAAAGCAGAACCCATACGATGCTGCGTATTGTCGACGCACGGCTACACGGTCACACTGTTTGACGATTGGGCACTCCTGGAGTCGGTGGGGAGTAGACTTGCAAATTGCACAGTTTGCAGAGTTCTCTTTCTTGGGGGCGTTCTTAAGCGATGTGGCGTTGATCGTAGCGTTTTTCGTGGGCAGGTCCGATCCTTTAGAAGCTTTGGGGGGACTTGTTTGTCCTGTTTTCTCCCCTTTGCGGCTGCATTCCAAACACTGGGTCATTCCTTATTGACGCTTGCCTTTTCACGAATTTTGCAATGTCCTTTAGTCGTGCAGTTCCACCACGGCTAACAATCTCGTAGTTTTCGGTCTGCCACTTGGTGATTAAATCATTTGGGAGTCTGTTTACGATTCTTCTTAAATTGGTAGCTACGCTTGCTTCGCGTTCCACATCTCCCTTCAGAACCTTGGTTGAAGTGTTCAGCTTCTCGGCAAAATTAAGCAGACCCATGTTGTCACCATAGGCAAGTTTGGGGCCTGAGACTAACTCTTCGATGCAGGCTTGCGTCACCTGAATAGGGCGACCAAAGCGTTCCTCTAAGATCTTCATTAGCTCACTATAGGAGGAGCCTCGGTTTCTTTTGATGACCTCCAAGGCTTCTCCTTTCAGGAACTTCGGTAAGTACTCTACCCGCTGCGCATCAGTTAGTAGCTCACTTTCAAGGTGAGTATGTGCTTGTTCTTTGAAGAACGGGAAGTCTGCTGGGTTGCCATTAAAGGGTGTAGGAGAGATTCCGTTCAGAAGCTGTACCTTCCACATGGCTGCTACATGGTCTTTAGGGGCTTGCTCTATTACTTTGTCTTCTGGCTGAGACTTAGGTCTATACTGGAAGGTTCGTGGGGCTTGGTATGGTGGCTGCTGGCATTCAGTGACTGGCAGTGCTCCCTTGTTTGCAGTATCGGCAATATTGGATTTGACCTCAGTGGCTGGCTTTTCCTTGCACGAACCAGGTGCTGTGTCTTGGGGGGTGGAGCAACTGACAGGTATAAGAGGCAGTGAAGGTTTGGGTGTCGGTGCTGGGATTTTTGGTGTTCGGGGTTCTGAATCATCAAGTTGAATTTGAGGTGACTGTCCCAGTGGTTTCTCCTCAATGGGATAGGATGTCTGAACAATATTGTCCACACCATTAACAACACCAGTTTCCTCGTCGAACTCATTTTCAATCTTCCAATCCAGTTCAGCTAGAACGGCTTCGTCCTCGAGTAGTCTCAATTCCTTCTTGGCGCTCCGCTCATGCTCTGCTTTGACCAATTCGGCTTCTTGTTGAGCCTTGCTCCTCGCCAACTCAGCTTCCTCTTGTGCCCTACTCTTCGCTAACTCCAATTTCTTTTTGCTAAAAGCATGGCTCTAAACCTTTCTTTCCGGGACGACGAAGAGGATCTTGAAGTAGTGGAGCTCTGAGACTGGTGCGACTTGTGACTTTTAATGGAGCGTTCATCATCACGTTCTTGTGTTTCTTGATCAGTCCGTATTTGCGTTTCGCATTCTTCTATTGTAAACATCATCTGTTCTTTGAGGGACTTGAACCTTTGTTGTACTTCTTGTAGTCGTTTGCTGTCACGTATGCCTGGCAGGTACTTCGAGTGTACAGTCTCAAAGGATTTCCAAATGATAGCTAAATGATCTACTATTTTGCGGGCGGACAAGTGCTCCCAGTTAGTGTAGAGGAGAGTTTGGAGCTGCTGTGTTTCAAAGGCAACTTCTTTAGATTCCTTGTTCCACAAAGATGCAAGTCTGCGTTGTTCCCTTATTTCGCGTTGATGCACAAGTTCACTAAAATCAATTTGAGTATTTGGTACGGGGTCCTGGCGTAGGGAGTATCCAACTGCTCCTCTCGCTGAGTCCTCAGGGTCCATTCCGCGATCCACTATCGCGCGGTCCAGTCCAGAGATTCCTGCGATTCCGTTCGGTCGGTTCTGAGCGTTCGTTTTCTCGAAAATCCAGGTGAAAACACAGTTTTCTCTTCGTACTTTGCAGAATTTTTCACAATGTTGGGGTCGACACAGAAATTTCGACGCGTTGATTGGACTATTAATCTGTCTTTAATCGCCAAGTTTCTCGTGCTTGGTTCGATCGGTGATCACTGGTCATGAACGGTGAAAACTGAACATAAAATAAGCAAAAATGACAAATAAACCTAAAGAAAACCTAAATAAACCTAAAGCGACACTAAAGAGCGAAAACTACTTACATTCTGTGCGATGCAATCGATGAGAAATTCAAAACATTTGCTCTATAACACTACACTTGAAAACACGTGGTGATCTGGTTTTGCTGTGGTCATGTGACCATCCGAAACTAACATGATATAAGTAGTCACGTAGTGTCCAAAAGGGAAGTGAACGCAAAAATAAATCAAAATAAAATTTGGACTAAACAGTCGTGACTAGAATGGATACTCCAAAATCAGGTATCCGCTCGGAGACTGGAACTGAATAAAATTATTTTTCGGCAAATCACTCCGACTCTTCACGACCTTGTTGTGTTCAAAGAGATAAGTATACAAAGACTGAAAAAGGCCAAGATGCGAATGGTTACTGCAAAATATGGATCAAAACCTACATAGAGGTTAGTTGTTTTTCACGTTCTTTTTGTAAGAATTTAGTGCAAGGAGCAAACAATGTCTGTTTATTTACAGTACCGCGACTGCCTTGTAAAGCTTATTCATAGCAAAGTATCTGTTTGGATAGCTCAGAATAAGGTGGATACTTCAGAATAAGAATGGCCGAAATATGGAAGTTTTGGCCATCTGGATTATTATCACTGAACTTCCCAATATAAACATGATTGTTACGTTTACAAAGAGGGTACAAATACAGTTAAGGTCAGTTAACCATCTTGTAATTTTATGGGTTAGTTGATTCCAAGCGTTAACAATAGTAAAAAACACATAATTTACTTCAGGTCATACTTCTTGTAGCTTGGTGATCACTATTACAAGCGCAGGCAGGCATATGCTCAAGTTTCTAAAAAAAAAAAACGGTCCTGCAGATTGTATTAGTGTAGTGTCTCTGTATATGCTCTGATATAGGCCCTGGAGCCTACAGTAGCAGATCTGAACCTTCAGATAAGAGGGGTGGGGCGAGGATTCTCACCAGACCTTAAGGTGACGGGGAGGAACCACTCATCCAGACCTTAAGGTATGGAGGAGCTCAATCCAGAAAAGAATTTTCTTGGCACTGTTGTCCTCGGTTTGATCTAGAAATATTAAAATTCTTAAAATTCTTAAAAGCACTGTGTTCCACGATACAGTGCCTTGATTCAGCAAATAAGCCTTGACCCTTTTGTTTTAGATGAGAGTTTTCAACAGTTATTATGAAAAGATGTTAAAATTAAAGATTTTTTTTTAGTAGCAGAGAAAGGCCCCCAGTTCAGTGCATTACAAATAATTATCACCTACAAAGTTGTCTATCATCTAAATTAAAAAGGAACAACCAAATCGTTTCCTTGTGGTACCTGCCTAATATCAAAATAACTAACTAACATACTGATAAATGAATAATAATTATTGAAGTAGAGTATCCAGGCCGTTTTAGCTTAACAAAACAAAAAGCACAAGGTAAGTCATTCTTATTTCTATTTTTGTCAAAAAATGGACTTTAGGACACATTTTGTTTATTGTCATACATTCTCTTATAAATTCAAAGTCCAACAAACTGGGCTTCCTGTGGATGGGGCAACATTTCATGACAGGATGGACTATAATGGGGCTACCTTTTCAACACCTTCAATGTGACTGGAAATTACAAAGGTTCACACAGCAGATTCAGGAACACAAAATGACTAACTTGGAATCACATAGTTTACATTTGCCAAAAGTAGCCAACATTGGGCCTTTTGGTCATAGAAAAGACTATAAAAGGATTTGGGTTCTGGTTGGCTAATTGTGCCACATACCCAGCGCACCAAAAGGTTGACCCATGTATCCCACAGGTTGTGAGGGTCACTTTGGTTTTTATAACCTCATAAAGTATCCATTATTGTCACACTAAACTAAACAGCAACTTACTACTGAAAAAAAAAATCAACCATAATATATAAGAAAACAGAAATAGTTTATGTTGAGCCATAAATTGAACAACTGTCTGCTATCCCTGGGGGTACTCCCTTATATGGCCTACACGGGGATGTGCCACTGGACAGGGTATGGTTTTCGTCCTCTCTGTCCTAAACAGGGTATACAGTTTGGCACAAGTTGACAGGTGTGCTTGATAACCTTGTCCCCATCTGAGGGGGTTGTTGTCCTATCAGGGTACTAAAGTTGAGTGTGTTATCCTAAACAGGGTATGGGTTTCAAACCCTCAGCGGCTCACCTATACCCAAATATTGGTCGAGTACCCCCACCCCCGCCCCCCGGCCTGCTATCCTATAAGCAAGCTTCGAATTAACTGAGCCATAATTACACAATAATTGACTGCATTTGTACCCTTTTTGTAAACGTAACAATCATGTTTATATTGGGAAGTTCAGTGATAATAATCCAGATGGCCAAAACTTCCATATTTCGGCCATTCTTATTCTGAAGTATCCACCTTATTCTGAGCTATCCAAACAGATACTTTGCTATGAATAAGCTTTACACGGCAGTCGTGGTACTGTAATTAAGCAGACATTGTTTGCTCCTTGCACTAAATTCTTACAAAAAGAACGTGAAAAACAACTAACCTCTATGTAGGCTTTGATCCATATTTTGCAGTAACCATTCGCATCTTGGCCTTTTTCAGTCTTTGTATACTTATCTCTTTGAACACAACAAGGTCGTGAAGAGTCGGAGCGATTTGCCGAAAAATAGTTTTATTCAGTTCCAGTCTCCGAGCGGATACCTGATTTTGGAGTATCCATTCTAGTCACGACCATTTTGAAAGTGTCAAACGGTTTCAAACGGAGATCGTTCATATATTATGCTTTTTGATACTTAAGGTTGTTACAAATTATAATGGCACTATCAGCCTTTAGTAATCGATTACTTCTCAAGTGTAGAGCAACCCTTTCGGGACGAGATACTCAGTCAGAAATGGAGACAGAAACATCGTGTGAAGCGCAAGCATTAACACTGGAATGTTCACAACAGAGACCAAGACTGTATTACACGTATTATATACCTGCCAACTTTTTCTGAGATATAAGCGTGAGATTTTTATCCTGGGAGTGCTGGGATTTTTGAAGACGACACGATCATTTCCGAAGATTCCCGAAGAAGTCCGAAGTCTTCCGAAGACGTCCGAAGTCTGCCGAAGTCTGCCAAAGGCGAGCTCGCTCCCAGTGCTTTTCACTTCAAAAATCAGAGATCGCGAGGAAGGTATTGCCATTTATTCATTTTACACATGGTTTTCGTTCCTTACATGGGTCTGAGTTAACATATTTTTGGAAATTGTGTCAAGCAGGACGGCAACAACTCACATTTTTCAATCAGGCGTGAGAAATTGGCCCGCAGGCGTGAGCCGGCGTGAGATCGAAGTTTTCAACCCGTAGGCGTGAGACTCACGCCTAAGGCGTGAGAGTTGGCAGGTATAGTATTACTAAGGCTGTTCGATACTCAAGATCTCGCTGGAAAGAGCAGATAGTGAGGCAAGGTAAGTTGTCCTGGCTCGATCGCCTTTTCTGACTCTAACTTTTTAAGCTTAATTCCAACCTTGTTTATGATGAGTTCGAATGACTGTGTCAAGTACTCAGTAACTAACATTTCAGTGAGCAGTGAAACCAGCATTAACCGTTTAAAGTAAATTACAACTAAACAGGTGTATTTATTTGGCATAACCTTTCAATAATAAGCAAGCAACGAGAGCATGGCGATGAAGATGATAATGTCAAATCATGTAAGGACTTTGGGGGTCTGAAGGAGTAGAATCTCCTTGTTTTGTACTGGAAAATACGAGTTTGGTCACTGGTATTGGGAATTACTAAAAGAAATGGAATTAAGAAACAACATCAGTTCAAAGTAAGCTTACATGTAATGTGATACAAACATTCTTAAGAAAATTTTCAAAGACTATAGAAGAACTAATAAACAGAATAGAAAGTGTTTAACAAGTGTTGAATTTGCAAGTAGGCAAAGATAATCTACGTAGTCTGGTTCTATATTTTCATGCGTCAGTCAATAACAAACCCAAGCTTCCCAATTCCCCGGGCAGTCATAGCGAACAAAACCTCTCTGCAATCCAGGTCATAAGTAGTGAATAATTTAACAGCATGCATATATTTTTTGAAGCAGGTACAAAAGTTTACTTTTGATTTTAAATTACGTGGGTTTTAACTTAAATGAACAGAGAATGAGTAGACATTTTCATGAGTCTTTCAATGCATAGCTAATGCAGACCATGGTTGAACAAGAATCGCCGAAAGGCGATTTTTAACTGGGCTGCCAAGGGGCTATTTTTTCTGAGGGGAGGGGGCGGCTATACACTCTCAGGCTACCATAAAACCTTGTCGGCAACCATTGCATGCGACAGAACCTCATGTGAGACTGAAACATAAACTCATTCAAAACATTGTACCCTTTTGAAAGACTTTCGTAACCCCCAAAAAAGAGTACCATTTTTAAGTGGGGGCTGTATAATAACTTTTAAATTCCACCACTATGAATAAAAATAGGCAAGTTAGCCATTAATTCTAAGCAGGAAACAATTTGCATTATTTCCACGTACCCCTCCCCTAATCCCTCTGTGCCCCAAAATATAGCGTGACAGTATAACGTGACGTAACAGGAAATTCCAAAAATTGTTGTCGTTCTACGAGTATAATGAGCTGATTTACACTAGACAGAATTATTGTATTATATGAAAACCAGAAGTATACTAAAACAGACAGTTAACTCCCCATTGATCCCGCCTGATCCAGGGGCCTCACTGACTGCACGGAGACTTTACTGCGCTTTTCACAAACATGCGAACTCTAAAGTTCAAAAGCCACCTTCACAATTGTGTTTATCGCTGCCGTCAATCATAATTACGATCAAAAGCAACGAACCTCGAAACAGAGAAACACACAAAACGGATCGAAATCCACAAATCACAAACCATGACCTTTTGAACCCGTGAAGTAGAGTTTTGTTTCCTAAGAGGTCCGTTAAGATGATTGACAACAGCGAAAAACGCAATCGTCGGTTGGCTTCTGAACTTCGGAATTCGCATGTTTGTGAAAAGTGCGATCCTAATTTGCGGTCCACAGTCTACAAGAAAACGCACTATTTTTTCCACAAGAAGAAAAATATTCAGTTTTAAGATTTTCCTCATGGTATTTTTCTCTAACTTAACGGAATAAAATCCTTTGCATTTTGAGACCTATAAAAGTTTAAAGACTTCTCGCTCGCATGTTGCGTTCACCAGCACGCACTTCAAACAATGTAAATAGATGAAACGATCGATAACATATTTTTTACCTGATACCGATGCGAGTTAAAAATTCGCTCCAGTTCTGTTTGTCTCACCCAAGACGAACTTTTCTTCATGGAAGATAACTATGCCGCTTTATAACTCGTGCGAAGTTTTTGTGCCAGCTAAACAATATGGAAACACTATTCACAGTGACTCCTTGGATATTAAAAAGACTGAACGTGACGCACTATTATGCCTTTGTTTACTTCTGATCACATCTTCAAGCGAAGTCTCTCTTTTCAAGCGATTCATCTCAATGCACAATAATTGACCCTTATATTAGTTAAAACACTATGGTTCATTTATATTAATGCTGTTTTTTGCCCCTCACATTTTGACTGTGTTCGTTCGTATTCAAAACACCTTTACGAAAATAAAGGTCGTATAAGTCATGTGTGTTATGTTTCGAGATAAATGGATTATACGCTTTTTTAAGTTGCCATTTTGCGGTGACTTCACTTAACATCTTCATAAAATGGTAAAAGAAATATCAAGAAACATCACGAGAGATAAAAAACTTTCAAAGGCATGTTTCTGAAACTCGCTAATGCTGACATCAATATAGCGTGCTTGCTGAATGGGCGAAAACGCAGAATTGTGATCACAAGATCATGTACAAATTTAATGATAAAAGCTTAGCAAGATACAAATACAAACAAAAGCAAACCCCCTGAAACCTTGACGTGGGCTACACTTGTATGCTCTACTCAGCCACCAAACCTTGTCAGTAATAGCTCCTATTTTCCTCAAGTCGCTCTCTGTGAAGCTCCCGGATGGGATGTTCCGGTGAAGCTTTAAACTTGTCAGGGGCACCCAACGACAATGTTCGGAAAAATATCTGTTCGGAAGACGATTTGAGATCTAGAATTTTCGGAACATTTGTTGTAAAATTTCTTGCTTGCCTGCTTCTCCTAGGATTTTCGAACATCTAAAATATGGTATAATTGCCTATTTTTAACGGATTTTTACCCTAAAAAGGTCACCTAGAATTTTCGGGAGCCTTTTTTCTGGCTGAAATTTTTGGAAAGGTAAGTTTTGATCCCTATAATTTTCGGATCACTAGACTTTCAGCTAGGAAATCCGAACAGATGAAAAATTTTTAGGGGATAAAAGTATGCCTATATGACCGTTTAAATACCAAATACGTTTAACAATGCTATGTTTTAGCGGTTTTGAACTAAATTCTCGTTGGGTGCCCCTGACTTGTGCATTGTGCGCGAAATTCTCAGAGTCCCTGTCCCTATTTTTGTCCGTGTCTTCTTTATCCTCAGTATCCGAAATTAAGACCTCCAAAGTGGCGTGTTGTCCTCTGTTGAGCAGGCGTTTGTGGGGAGGGAAGAAATACGGGCTCCCCTAAGAATGCCTGCGTGGGAGGCTAGTGTTGCATTAAATAGAAGGAAATATTTAAAGGAAAAGCCAGTCTTCTAACATGGCAAAATTATCACGTCCCTCGCTCATAGACGTGCGTAGTGCCATTCATCGGCAACTGAGTTGTTCGCTTCACTGAATACGAAGTCTTACAATCAAGTCTTCAGCCATAGTGTCGTCAACTGGTGAAATACCTTGCTCATAAATTGTGCTTCTTAATTGCTCATGTACTACATCGATCGATAATTCTCTCTTTGCGTTCACGAAGCGGCCACGGCGTTCCAAACCTGACGCTCACAGTCATCTTTTAGTGTGAACCTACCGTGAACAGCGTGTCGGTTTGAATGCAACGCGAGCATTTCTCTGAGTTTTCCAGCGCCAACATCATCTAACTGACTTAAACTCGAACAATAAAAAAATTATAGAGTGACTCCCATGATCGAATCGCTTCGAACAACGCAAATAGCGTTCTTCAGGTTCGCAACGCTTTGTGGGTTTTTCAGGGGGAGCGCAGACGAGGTACAAAAAGTATCCGTGCAAGGGTTCGTGCAAGAGAAACTCACATGAAACCATTTGTGAGAACATCGTTTCTCGGTACCAGACCCTCGTGTGTTCCCTCCCCCGGGAGACCACTTTTTGACACCGACGACCGAAAGCCCATTTTATGACTGGGCGCACAGGCAGCCCAGTAATTAGAATGTATTTTCATGTAAGTGCCAACATAGTTGGTAACATCTTCACAGTTTCATACCTTCATCTGCAGTTCAAAGTATGATTCATGTCATATATTACCATTCATTTCAATCTTTATTGTGCACTGCTCTTATGAAATTATATTGTGGTTCTTGAGAGGATACAGTGCAGTACATACTGTCAGGAAATTGAATGCCTTAATTTTTGGGAAGCAAAGCACACAATCATCATTCATGTTAGAAACCAGAAGTTGTTCTATTTGCACCATAGTTGTGTCGTCAGTAAATCTAAGTTTAAAGGAAAATAAAATTTAAAGAAACAAGTTGTGAAAGATAAGACTCTTAAGAGAGTCATAGCAGTCATAGCTGTTTTTTGGATTCTCTTGTCTACATACACCATTATTATTCTGCAAATACAACTGTCTCTCTTGTGAAATGTCCCTGGTGGCAAGGAAAGAAAATAGGCTGCTTTCTTTACAGGGTACACTGTACATTATTATTAGGAGGTATTGTTTTCAAGATTGAGGATAAGGGCTGTAAATAGCAAGGTGGCTTCACTCCTGTTACATTAACTAGGAACCTTGAACGTTTCGTATTAAAAAGGAAAAAAATATGTATATTAGGTAAAGTTTCAGGAAAATTTGAAACTTTTGGGAATAAGGTGCTTATATGCAGTGTGCAAAGAAAGTAGTGTCTGATAGCCTGGGGCTAGTGGATTTTGCTATCCGAAGGCTAGTGAATTCTGTTTTTAAATTGCCCGACGGGCAAGTGATATTTTTTGAGGAATTCGAATAACAGAAGAATTGTTAATCAATTCAGTTCTGCTTGTCAAAACGTTTTTGGGGCTAGTTGAAATGACGTCTGGGCTGGTAAATGCTAGCTTCAGCTTGCCCGAATGACAAGCTGTAAAAGTGATTTTCTTTGCACCCAGGTATATGTTTGTATATTTTTCCCTGAAAGTCTTTGGTGGAGTTCATGAGAAGGCTGGGAATGTTTATTGATTTGGAACTTAAGTCCAGGACTGGTAGAAATTTAGTTCAGACATGTAAACCTTTGATATGACTTGTCCGTGGGACAAGCACATTTTTAATTAGAAAAATAAAGATAAGAAACGGTTGCCTTAAATATTCCTTTTAACTTTGCCATTCCACTGCCAGTCATTTCATCCATTTGCTTTTTTACGGGCTCTGTTGTAGGTTTAATTCAAAAATAATATACAAGGGTAATAATGTGATTAAATAATGTGATTAAAAACATTAAATGCCCGTTGCAAGGTAAACTTTTTGGACAAGAGCTCTGGGTTTCGGACAACCAAATTTAACGTATTGCTTGTGTGAAGGACAAGTGGATAGGAAAATCTCTCTCTTACCAGGGTGCAAAGAAAGTGATTTTTAGAGCTTTCCATGCGGGCAAGCTGAAGCTAGTATATACTAGCTCAAATGTCATTTCAACTAGCCCCAAAAATGTTTTGATGAGCAGATTGAATTGATTTCACAGTTCTTCTTTAATTTGAATTCCTCAAAAAACTTCACTTGCCCGTCGGGCAAGTTAAGTTCAAAATTCACTAGCGCGATAGCAAAATCCACTAGCCCCGGGCTATCGGACACTATTTCCTTTGCACGCTGCTTACTCTCTAATAACAATAATAATGTGCATCCAGTGGTTTTTCATAGCACTTTACAACAATATTAATGGATGATACTTTTATAAAAATGTATACATGAAAATAAAAAAAGATATACATTGTAAAACATTGAACTCTAATAATATAATAAACCATTGTTAATAAATTTAACATATATATATGCTTCAGTCTCCCCAATTAGTAAGGCACTGTGCCTGTGTTATAAGACATGAGACTTTAATAAAGTTCATTATTATTATTATTATTATTATTATTATTATTATTATTATAGGGTTTCCATGTAGCGTTTTACCCTGATTTTCACTCAACTGCAAGTAGGGTTCTAAATGTAAATATTTTTGCTTTTAAGGAAAGCCTTTAACTCATACTAGTCAAACATTTTGAATCTTTAACAGTCAGATGAATCTTATTCAGTTGTGTGAATTTGTAGACATTGAAATCATTTGCTGCTCAGGTTTTGCACTGTTATTAGACCCCTTGTGGAAAATGCCTGATAATTTTTTTTCAAATTTTTAGTCTTGGTTTGTGAAAATTGTGCTGATTGTAGTAATTTGGCCATAAGTGCAGGAAAAAATATTATTAATTAGTAATAGTAGGCAGTGTCCTCTGGCAACTTAGGGGGTGATTACATGACACTGGGGCATCTTTCGCCCCAGAGTGTGTTCACTCCGGTTCCCTCTCATGGCTCTATATTATTTTGTTTACATGATACCACCACAAAATGTCATGTCGGCGCAAGTCACCCCCGGTAGACTGGAATAGGTAGCGCATGCGTAATGTTTGCGATTTTGAATCACACTTGTATTTTATCAACATGAAGTGTACCTTCAAATAATGAGATATGAAATGACTCAGTCATAATGTAAACCCGCTAGGAAATCAAAAAGTCATCCCGGTATGAGACTCGCGCCGGTGTGAGTTTTCTCATATAAACACCCCCTTACTGTACATGTACTTGTGCCTTTAGTGCCCAATTAAGTGTATTATCATTAGCCCACAAGTAATCTGTGTAGTTTACTCAAATAACACTTGCTTTCTATTTATTCAGCAGATCAGCCTGGTATGGGATGTTGGTGACAGAAAGTCCTCCCAAAGCAAACACGATTAATACATGTTACACAAGCCTTAGTCTTGTAATGTGGTTCCAGGGCTGTCACTAAGGGCCATAAACCAGACTTTAAATTGGCTACCTTGAGCCCAATACTTGGCTATTTTGAGGGGAAACGAAAGGAAAATTTATTAAAACATAAACAACTTGCCACATTTTCAATGTCCCGCTCACTAATTTCATTTGCCCTGCAACTTGCAATCTTAATGACAGCCTTGTGCATCGAACTTTTACATCATCAGTTTATGAAAATGATTTGTTATTTGGATTTTTTTTGTTAAATTTGACTGTAAACACTTCTGGGAGTGAAAGGGCTAAATCAAGAAACCATCAATGTTTTAAATGTATTAAGCTTTCACTCTTTTTATTTCTTATCTAAATATGTTTAAGCTTTTAATTTGAATTATGCTAAATTGTACTAAATAGTTTCATTTTGGAAGATACCATGTTGACCCACCTTTACATTAATTTGTGTGTTAGAGTTGCTGTTTTTTATCAAAATTTAACTTCATTAGTTTTCTTGTACCTTACATGTAAATACTAATAATTATTTTAAACTATAAATCATCTTAATTTGGTATAATACTAAGTTAAGATGATTTTTTTTATATTTTGAGAGGACTGTTTTGACCCATTTGAAAAGTTTATGTACACTGTATCTTCTTATTTAAACCTTAGGTGTTGGAAAAAGTTTTTTCTTTTTAAATTTTTAATGTAATGACAAAGATGCTAACACAGAAATAAATCATGTTATATTTAAAAAATTCAGTTTTAGAGTATCAGTGTGTTTTGTTTTTTAAAACCTTGTAAGATTACTCTTTTCGGGACTACACCTAAAGAATGCGAAAGAATCGTATTTGCATCTTTTGCAGTTACAACAAGGTAGCATACCTGGCGATTTTCATGGGATTTGAAATGTAAAAATAAAGATAGGCAATTTGAAAATTGGTTATGGTAATGCAAAATTGGAAACGGAAAGGGGCCCTATTTTTAAAACTACTACTCCTTTGCGTGTCCGCTTAACGCGTAAAAGCATTGTCTTAATAAGATCTTTACACCAACTTTACGCTTCAATTACGCTGGTTTAAGTCTCTACTTTAAAGCGCATATACACCAACTTTACGCAGAGCTTAATCGGTCTCTTTACGATACCTGTACGCATGTGCGTAAAGGTAGCGTAAAGTTCGACTTTACGTGGCGTAAATGGGTCGTAAAGTTACGTAAATGAGAACTTTACGCCACCATTACGCTCACTTAAATGTCTTTTTTCGTGCTGTGATTGATCGTTTTGTCCTTAAAAGGCAAGAAACGATAAAAAATAACAATACAAAACAATACCTATTGCTCTCGAATTCAGGTCGCTTTTCTTGATACGCATGCCGGCAAACAAATCCTTCATTTCGACTGGTTTGCGCCACATTTTCGCCATCGTTTCGTCACAAATTTCCACCAAGATGGAACCACTAGCAACGCCATCTTGGATCGCGAAACAACTAATTGGCGATAAGAAAACAGCCCACGTGACATAAGTTTCCTATCCAGTCTTTCTATTACCATGGTGACAAGTCGAAAAAAAGCAGTAAAGTGCGGTTCAAAACATTGAATTTATTTCAAAAAAACCGTGTATTATTTGTCTTTCCTTTTTGTCAGTCCAGTTTAAATACAATGTTTAGCCCTGTACAAGCTTTATTTTTTTAATAATTCCTTTTTCAAAATACTGTAGCAGCATACATCTTGCTGCCCTTAAAGTGAAGTGTGCATGATACTTGCATTCCACCCCAATTCCATTTTCTTATTTCTAATTGTTTTCTTCGAACTCCTGATAACTCGAACTTTTTTCGATTTCCTTTGAAGATTCGAGTTATCTGAAAAGACTGTAAGAATAACCTCCAAATTTATACCGACTTCTGTCCAAAGAATCAAATCTGATGGATCGCGCCACTAACTGTGAGCTGCGTCATTTGCATTATACAATTCAAACTGGCGACTATATTTCTCTCAGTAGTTGGCCGCCAAAAGGCGACCTGAAGACATATACTAATGTTACTACATATCTTACACATCAATATTGATGTATAGTATGATTTTGAACAAGTATTGACGCAGAATTGGTAAAGACAGGTTTCTGAACTCAGAAATGTTCAGTGCTAGCCGTTCAATGAGTTGTTAATGATACGTTCGATCGGATCACATTAAATGATTATGCATTGGTCAATAAGTTAGAAGTTTAGGCTCCCGACCGATAAAACACGGCTAACTAAATATTATTGGGAACAGAGAAGTCTTTGACCCAAATTTCTTTCTCGGTTTGTTTTTTTCAGGATTTGAAACTCGGAGTAGTGGCTCGCTTCATCAACTTCCGGCTATCTTCTTTTATCATGTTAGTAAAGTGAAAGTAGGTAAAGTTCATAAAAGTTAATTCATTCAATTGAAGAAACTCTACCAGGTAAAGAAAAGTAATAATAAAAAATATACTCTACCAGGAGCCGATTATCGGCTTCTCTCATAGGAAAAATACTGAAGCTTTCCCTTGATTCCAACTGGGAAAAGCCTTGCTTCGTAATACTTGGTTTTACCTTTGTTTTTGTATTTATTTTCTTCAAATCGAAAGTTCTTTAATGTAAGAAGTATAATATAATAAGCCACATTATTTACAGCGTGATTTTGAAATACTTCCATTGTACTTACTCTCGTATCGCGTTGATAAAACTCGATTTTCCAGCTCCAGAGCTGCCAGTGATTGCTATGTTCACCTCGACGTCTCGCCAACCTTCCAGTTTGTTCTTAAAAAGTTCTTCAATGTTTGAAACCCCATTCCTATCTACAAAACCTTGGACTTCTTCTAAGTTACTTTGTTCCCAATCCATGTCATCCGCGATAAGGAGACAAATCTAAATGAAACTTTGGGGCAGAGTCGAATATGGTTGCCGAAGGATAGCTAAATAGGCCACTTTCGATACATTAAAATTCAGCATGATAGCGAGTCTTACTCACAAACAAAGAAAATGAATAAACATTAATTTTCTTTGTTTGTGTCCTCTAAGACTCAAATATCGAAAGTTGCTTATTCTATAATGTAATTTCTAGGGAGTGAGAGACATGGGAACGAATTAGTCAGAAATTAATATTGTGAAGGCGTGCGGTTTAGAGGCGCACTGGGGTACATGGCATAGTTTCGGACTTTTTTCTATTTTTGGCACGGGATTTGTGGCATTCTACGTCAGCTCAGTCGTCATGTTCGCTTTCATTTTGTTTGCAAAGTTTCTTCCCCGATAGTTTATTTTCTTCCGTATTCAGTTCTGTATGTTTTTGGAATAACCTCATCTTGGTATATAGCTAATGTATCTAGGTATTTGGACCTGCATGAAAAGTGTCTCTTTTTGGAGTAGTCTGTATAACAAGGTATTCACCGTTCTATGTCTTGCGTTCAAACCCTTTCGCCGGGGTTTCGTGCCCCTGCATTAGTAGGGAAATACGTTTCCATACATTTTTGAGCCATCCCTCTAGAGCGGTTTTTATAGTGGTTTTCAAATCTGGCGTGGCATACGTTCTAGCCTAGGACATGTATTAGTATTTTGCTGGACGTATAACATTAATGTTATTTAACTAGGATACACCTGCATCAGCTGACGCATCCTACTGAATAAACTTTTCACATTGAATGTCTCGTGTTAGTGGAGTCAGACTCAAATATATCCATTCGAAAAATGGTATAATTTTATTTTGTACGTGACGTCACCATCGTACCAGGGTCAACCCGGGGACCCTGGTAACGAAGTTGACTTCCATGTGTGTGGTCAATAAGGTAAGAAAGTCGGTAAACTTCCATCGAGCTGGGGTTATATTTACTTATTTTCCTCGCGAAATGAGGCCGAACGCGAAGAGAGGCTTATAATCTCGTCGCGCGCTCAGCACGTGGATCGTAGCGGCCTCTCTCTCCTCCGCAGAGGCTCCCGCTGGGTATCCCCATCAAAATATCAATAATCGAAAAAATAGAAAGCGCGCGGGGGACGATTCCCCGCGCGCTCTCTTTTTCTTTCTCCCCAGCCTCCCCACAACACAAAAGCCTCCCGACAACACAAAGAGGCCTCTGCGGAGGAGAGAGTAGCGGCCTTCCAACTCAGGTGGCTCAGATTTCTATATATCTCTTGGTATCTACAATGACCTCATCATCAAGCGACCAAGTTGCTCCGTTGTTTTGACTGTTTTTGCGGCTGTCTGGGCGATCAGGAAATGCTTTTGGCGATAAATTTCGACAACAAAAGTACTCCCCCACATAGAAGCAATTTGGACCAGAAGCTTCAAAATAAGGGCAAAAAAAAAAAAGATAAAACGACACTTGTTAGTGCGTCTCGTTCACCCCGTACGACTTAGGTCGTGGTCGTGGGAGCTCGTGGGATATGTTTGTTTGTCGGACGTGCCTTTCACGTCGGCTTTTTACCGTGAAAACCTTACTTTTCCCTGAAATTTATGTTACACTGCGGCAAACCCACAATGAATTGGTTCTTTCCCCGACGATGGATCCAAGACTGGTTTCAGCTCCGTACATCGATCGGTTGTTGAAAACTGAGAGTGGACGTTGCATGCGAATTTGCCTTTCTTTTTCAACCGGCGACCTAAATAATGCAAAACGCTTTGAATACGTATGTTAATAAGAATAAAATAGGACAATGAAGCAAGAAGAAGAAGGAGAAGAAGAAGGTCGTTTCCCAAAATTCTTCTTCCCTTCTTATTTTATGTCCTGATCTACGTCAATATCGATTCGAGCTGCTTTGTGCCTAGCCTCCCACGCAGGCGTTTTTAGGGGAGCTCGTTTTTCATCCCTCCCTACAAACGCCTAGCCAATCACATTGTACTTTCCAAATTCTGGAAAGTTGACCTTGACCGAAAGACAATCTGATAATTACTCGATCTGCAAGAAACACTGGGAAAGCTTTCTGACCTCTAATAAATGTTAGATTGAGAGCGGGAAAAATAAGATTTCGTCAAATTTTAGAATACTCCATGCACTGCATAACCTTAGCGAAGGAAAGAAAAGAAGGAAAACGGTAACTCTAGGGTCATGTTTGAGTCGCGTGTAGCCTGTCAACACTTTATTGCACAACTGTTGATTGTTCACTTACCACGCAAATAAAACGATGGAAAAGGAATGTTGTTTTCGGTTGAGCAGGCGTCTGTGGGGAGGGATGAAAAACGAGCTCCCCTAAAATCGCCTGCGTAGGAGGCTACTTTGTGCCATTTAAGCCGGATAATTGTGGACAAATGTAGTGAATGAAGGCTTACAGAAAGGATGGATCGAACGAGTTGTGTAGAACGAGAGACGACTGCGACAAGGCGTTGCAAGGTCAGTATTCCACATGAATTGAAATGTCAATAATCTGTCGGTTGAATAAGGAAACCTGATTTCGATATCATTTTTGCAGGAGTGAAAAGTGTGACCTTTTTCTTTAGTGCAATCGGCACTCAAGGGCCTAAGAAAACACCGAAGAAAATTGTAAAAACCCTGAGGATAACGGAGATTAAAGCGATAGCGAGCATTTCACAAGGGTCCACAAGTGTAGTGTCAAGTTCTTTAAGCCAAAGCTCTGGATCTCTAGCCATCCAGCTTTGGTTAACAAAACGCTTCTTCCCGCCATACTGAAATTATTGGATTGCGCTGACTCGGAATACACCCAATGGAGCCCAAGCAAACCCCATCACCATTCACTGTGCCTTACTGGAATGTGGCGCTCATGTTGCCTAGTCCCTGTACGGCATTTTCCCAGTCCCTCTCGGTCAATTCACTTCGGTGACGTATCCGAGTGACCCGAAACGCTTTGGCCTCGCGGAATAATGAGGCCTAGGGACTAGGCAAGCGTTCATGCAATAGCAAACGCGGTACGTTTTCTCTTTGTGCATCATAAATTAATCTCTTGTACAAAAGCGCGGATCTTTTAATTTCGGGTGTTCATCAGTGTTTTTGATGTCATATATCTTAGAGTTGTGTCGAACAAACGTTTAGGTTACAACAACATTTGATAATAAAGCTTTTTTAAGGGTTTCTGTTTTTGTCGCAAATTGGTTATCATGAGAATTTTACAGGGAATGGTTGCAGGATTGTTTACTTGTAGGATTTTATTTCAGTATAATGTACCGCTGCTGGATACAATATACGACTTGCCCCGCCCTAGCCAGTAAACTAGAAGTACTATCAGTCCGCAGAATAGTATCCTATTTCACAACACTCAATTGCTCGCGCTCATTGTTATAAAGATATGGGAAAATTGATCTACGCGCAAACCAGCTCCGTTTCCACAACACCTACTACAGAGGTAATATTTAACACAAAAGACCCTAAAACAGCCCTTAAACCTCCCATCCTTATCACCCAACTCTCACCCAAACTTACTTTAGAGAGTTAATTGCAAAGAAGATTGTAGTTTAATGAAAAGATTCACTGTTCCGGAAACGACCTTTTCGCGGTTGTGGGTGAAGGGAAGGCACAGACGAAACGTTTCAAAACATTGACGTCATTCCACTCAGACGTGACAGTAGGGATGTCTACTGTCGATAATCGAGCAGATGCACCCGCCGGGTTAAGAACTTTGGCCAATTGCAAGTAATGTAAAGCAGTATGTCGTCGTGTCCACCCCACATGATCCATGATTTTCGTCAACTCAGCTCCTGACAATGCCAGGGTTATAGCACATCCAGCTCTAAAGCCATGAAGAGTTTCCCCATCGTCTGACCCCATCTCCCTTAGGTATCCCTTTAAACGAGCCTCCGCCGCAGTTGAGCTGAATGGTGCATCGAGTATGCCCCCTTGAGGAGTAGTTGGGCGAAAAAGATAACCCCTCGTTAAATCGATCCTTAGTTGCTGAGCCACTGCCATATAATGTTCTATCCCCTGAACAGGACAGATCTTTGTCTGTGGGTTTCGTTTGATCCCAAAGACATTATTATCACCGTCCCTCAAGGTTTTGCCCCACACATGGTTAAACAGGAAACCATCATCATTTGGGAATCTCAGAATTTCTGGTACCTTCACCAGGCCCATATCTCCAGGCCTATCACCACTAAAAAATACCGCTTTAAAGTACGCCTCGTCCCTCGCGAGAATAAAACGTTGTGTTGGAGTCATATTAGGAGACTGCAGATTTCTATCGATGTAGTCAGATAACTGAGCAAGTTTGTCCACCAAAAATGGGGAAGCTTGTTTCGGCGTTACTCTTGCCTGTAGCTGCTCAGCCGTAACTAAACGGAGATAGTCGTTAACCGATTTATCTGCAGCCGGGTTTCCAAGGCCAAGGCGTCTATCCCATTCCCCGTCACGCCCAATAGCGTGGAATATTGCCCGTAGTTTACCAATATACGAGTCTACAGTTTTATAGGAAAGTCTTAACGGGCAAGCACAATCAAATGTGCCTCTCTTCCCCAAATGAGGGCATCCGTTACAGTGGACCTGGGTTTTTCCATTCTTGTCTTTATGCACCAAGAAACGGCAAATATCACGTGGTGTAACAGTTGAAACTGAAATAGAGCCTGGTAGAGAGGAAAGGAAATTTTCTAATTCTCTCTGAAGCGAAGCTTTTTGTTTAGAGTAACAAGTTGCTTGATCAAACAAGGCCAATTGTCGAAGACGATCATCAGTAGCGTTCACATCCACATCGAAAGGCATACTACTTTTGTTCTGTAAGATTTTCCTTTTATAGCCGCACCGTTGGCAAAAGCGGAAATCGGAATCATTGGTATAACTACAATTTGGACACCTCACAGAAGGAGTGAACAGCTTTGCGACCACAGGTAAATCCTAGTAAAAGGGAGAAGAGGAAACGTTTATATAAGAAACATTGGAATTTTATTCTATCAAAATTATACAACAGTAGCA